CTCTTTTTAACCACTTCGTTCGGTTGTGTCTTCATGCTCAGCTTGTTTTTAAAGACACAAACCAGTTTGATTGCAACCTGCATCTTATTTTTGGGCCATTATTCCTGTTAGGAATGATGCCACTGAACTCAACCAGTTAATGATATGACCAAAAACAGGAAGAAACATGAGCGGTTAGACAGTCAGACAGGTTTTAGACGACTATCATGTTAGCAAAAACTAATGTGGAGATAAAGACGAAGGTAAACTGAAATCATTACCCAAACTGTCTGTTGTAAACATCCATCACAGTTTGCAGACTGATATCCTGCTCCAACTTTGACCTACTGTACTGACCGTTTGTGTCTGGAATTAAAGCAAGTTTAAAATGGTTATTTGCCCAAACTCCAAATAAAGATGTTTAGATAATCCAGCTAAACTGTTGGCTTGTGTCGGCATTAACTTAGTATTATGATAACTAATAGATATAATGACCAAAGTTCTGAAGATAAAACCATAACTTAATAATCCATAGTTTTCCTTTAATATTTCGATAGTACAAGTCAGCATGAGAGTTTGTCAGGAGGCTGGGACACTTCACTTCCTATGCGCAGCACTGCAACTGATTCTCATTTTTATTACTGATGATTCTATATATGATTTTTCCAGTTAATCAGTTAATAGTTTACTCCAATCCTCACCATCATAATTTCACAGGACCCAAGTCGTCCTAAAATTGCTTGTTTTTTCAAACCAACAAAAATCTGTTTACAATGATATAAAACAGAGAAAATGAAAACATACTAACATGTAACAAGCAAGTATTTGGCTTTTTTTTTTTTTTTGCCTGATGAATGACTAAAACGATTAATCATTTATCAAAATTGTTCTGTCAATCCATTAATTGACTAAATTTCAGATCAAACCAGCACTACATGTGTACCAGGAGATTTTTATCCCAGGAAAAAACCAAAAGAATAACCAAATGTTCTGCATAGGAAGAAGAAAATCTCATTATTATCATCATCTAATTGTTGATTAAAAAAAAACAAAAAAACATGCAAAATATGCCTATGATTATTAGAGTTCACCAGAGCAGAATTTGAGCTCAGCCGCCATTCGCTGCAGCAGCGAATGTGAGCGCATTAGCCGAGGACACTGTTGCCTGTGGTAGAGCCTCAAACGTGAGGAAATGTCATATTCTCCTGATATTTAATGCTTTGGATTAAATTTCCTTCTCATGTGGTGTCACCTACTTACTCGCTATAAGCCTGTTTTCCAGTGATTAATTTGACAACCTCCTGAACATGATGACAAATAGCTGAGCATGGCTTCTATGCCTGCACTTCACTTGGCTTTCCTCCCAGCCGTATCCTCATGGGCCGAACCGCTATAGGGCGAAAACTGTTGATGTGACCTTTTCAGCGGCCAGTCTACTTATTGGGTTATAAATATAAGAATGTAATTTCCTGTGTTAATTAAGGGAGAGGCGTGATTGGCCGGAGCAGTAACTAGGTCCCAGCGGGGTAACTGACATACAAAGAGTGAAGACCTTAACACCGGGGCAAAGAGACAGAGGAAACGTCCCTTCAGAGTCGGTGCGAGCTTCTTACTGTTGGTTTTATGCACGAGGGCAGCATTTCTTGAACTATACAGCTCCCAAACTGGGCTCCCAGTGGGTCTATATCTACAGGGGGAATAAAGCGACTGGTATACAGCTTGTCTTCTTTGCTCTGAACCATTTCCTTTTACATCCACTCTGGCCCAGTTACAGCTGAATCAGGCCTTGTAAACAAAAGTAATATGCAGTAACAAGCAGGGTGGAAAATTGGCTCTTTGTAACCACTCACTGCCACTCTTTGCTTTATTGAACTGCAACTTATTAACTTACTCTTAACACTTAATCCCAAAATGATGTGTTTAAATCTAAGTTAAACACCTTTAGCAGCTGAACTGTGCTTTAAAGTGATGATAATCTCACTGAAATGTGAGCCTGATGTCTTCTTCACCTGCTGCAACACTCCACCTCTCTTCATATCTGTTCCTGCCTCCTGCCACCATCTCCTCCTCCTTTGACTGTTTTATGGAGCTTCAGGGTGGCAAAGTGGAAGCGAACTTGTGGGCAGTTCTGTTTGTTTTCTCACCAGCTTGATTTCATAGACAACAAATGAAACTATAATTCAAGTATGACACCATGGGGCGGTCAAAAAAAAAAAAAAGTGTCTGATGTTGTAAACAGAAGCCAGTGCATTAATATCACTATGGGAGCTTCATAAAAGGCTTTTTAAAAACACTTTTATCACCTATAACTTAAAACTGCTACGTTAGGTGGGTGTGGGTGTTTTTCTCCAGGCATGAGTGTCACTTCAGTCTTAATATCTGGTGTGGGGGTGGGTGTAATTCGTCTATAGTGTCAATACAGAACCTGAGTTCTGATACTGATAGCAAAGCAATATGTTTTTGATACTTTATTTGAGAAATATAAACATGTTTCTTGACAAAAACCCCCTTTTCATAAAGATGTTGCTGTCTAATATTGGCAAAATGATGATTTAAATCAGAAAATGTCTGATCAAAGAACAGTAGAATACAAGTATGAACAAGCATATCAGACTTATTTGGAAACACAGGTATATTTTTAGTGTGTGCCAAATTTGTTGTTCAATATTTCCAGCCTTAATATTGTGATTTTCAATTTACATCCCACAAGAAAAAAGATCAATATTAGCATCTTCATACAAACAAACATCCAAGTAAAACCTCAGACAGCCCATGTCTTGTAGCTTGTTTAAATCTTCTTTCTCTTCTTCATAGGACTACAGATACAAAGATGTAATCCTACCACCTTGTGGTCTCTTGCAGAAGTACAGCAACTCTTGAGCAAGATTTTAAAATACTAGCTTTTATGTGAGCAGTTATTCAAGAGGCCCAACTTTGTTAAGAGCCAAGGCTTGGTCCCTAATCAGCTTTCCTCCATATGACATGATGCAATCTGGCCTTGATGCACCCTCTCTCCTAGGGTAGGAGGTTTAGGCCAATTTCTGTTCATAATTTGAACAATTACAGCTTGACTTTGTTTTTCTTTTCAGCAAATAGCAAAACATGAACTCACCAAACGTGTGTGAGAACATGTTGGGATTTTCCATAACATCTCATACATTCATAATTACCTCACATCACGCTGTTTAATGCTGTAACAGCTGTATGTAAAAACTCAGAAGGAGCTGATAAAATGGCTGTAAATGTTGACTGGTTAAGGTATGTTCTTGTAGACATGCCATTGCCGAATTGAAGCAATTACTCTCAAATGTCTTTACTGGGCTACAACATGTGTGTACCCGCGCTTATAAATTACCCCTAGTTAAAATATCAGAATTTTGAATGGAATTTGGCGTGCCACTTCGGAACATCTGAAGACGGGCCCGCCCCGTGGTTTACAGTACCCCAGCGGTGTACAGTAAAAAAATCTTTCAACATCTAACATTCAAAATCGTCTGCAGGTTTTAAAACACAATGTCATCTTCACAAACTTTGTGCAGGTGTTCAATCAAAAGTTGTATCTACCTCAAGCCCGGTCCGGTTGGTATTGTTAAAACATTAACGGCGGCCCTTGTCTGTACCTGTCCAGTCCATGAAGTGTTACAATAGGTACATTCTTTCGTTTTCCCAGCTCCACCCATCTCAGAGTCCACTCCCGCTGTAGGCTACAAGTGCGCGTGATGCATTCAATTCCTGTTAGAAATATTGGCATCTACGTGGAACTTTCAAATTAACAAAGGTTCAATTCTACATATATATATAGCTTATATATCTTGTTGAATTATATCCCATGAAAACATGGTTGGTAATTGTGATCATATCATCATAGGGCAAACGAATACATGTAGTTTGCTGAGCTATGTCTATATTTAAAGTTGTTCTTGATAACTTATATTAGTTATATTTTCAGGGCCCCAGGTAAGAGTACGGAAGCCTAGATATTTTTGATAATACGGAATAATTATCCCATTATCTCGAGAAAACAACGCTCTCGAGTTCAACCATGAGCACTTTCAATCAACCATGAGAACTTTTACTATGAGGACCATGGGTATTTATATAATAATGGTTTAACAAGTCTGCAGCTATTGTAGACTCACAGCTGGATTAATTCACTTTTAGATAGAAATTAGTTGTGATGCCACTGATTATGTATCCCCAAATTATATTGTGATAATGCTATTCCTGAGCTTTTTCTTCTGGCATACTGCAGTTAGCAAAATATCAACTGAAATATTGAAAGTATTATAACCACATTTTTCTTTTATTTAGCCATATTGCTGAGTAAAAGTAATTCCCACGCAGTTACCGCCACTTTGCCCAACTGGTAATTGCCTTGTCTAAGTTGAAACTATTTGATTTATAAATCAAAATGTACACACTCAAATGACTATTGTTACAGTTTGAGGTGTCTGTAAAACAACACAAGCCGATATTAATGTGTTAGGTCCAGTTCATCCAACAGAGGGCGCATGCGTACAGCAGGAGGAGCAAACCCTCCTCTCCTCATCTATTAGCTTCCTTGCCAGCTGGTCGACAAGCAGAGCAAACTCCACCTGGAATTTTGTGATGGTCACGTGACGATGTTGTGGGTATATTACGCCAAATGTCGGAGTTCGTTTCACCACTGAAGAGCTGCTGACTGTCTCTGTCCCTGTATCTGCGGCGTTCAGACAGGCCGTGCACGGTGCAGTGTTTTTACTTTGCCTGACCCGATCAATTCACTGCAGTGGTAAATGACACTGTGACAGCTGACGGACTGAAGGGACAGAAACCTGGAGTTTCAGCATCAAGAAGCAACTTTTTTGTGGGAAATTATGAGAAACGTGGAGCAGTGATTTAAAAAAAAAAAAAAAAAAAAAATCCATTTGACAGCTGACAAGGTGAGAGAAGAACTTTTTGGTGTTTTATGTCGTGCAACCTAATATGACAAAGTGTTCAAACTTGTTTTTTCTTGACTGCACCTGAATTAAGACTGTGTCACCTGCAACATAAGTTCAGAAAACTAAATTTACACCTGTATATCTGCACAAATAATGCATCATTAGGTGCATAGACTTGATGGAAGCATAGTTTGGTGATTAACACCCTAATATGTTGAGTGTTAACAGGTTAATGACATTTGTCCAGCATCTGAAAAACACTGCAGTACTGTAAAGTCACCACAGGATTTACTGCTGGGTTCACTGTGGGCCTCATTCTGACCTTTTCTGCTGACAACCGGGTTTGACATCTGTGAAATATTTTATTACGATTAGGTTAAATGACAAGAGTTCAACATCTGATTTACTGCATGTAATTTATTGGAGCAGAGTGTTATAGTATGAAAGGTCAGACAATGCACATTTAATGGAACTCATCCGCAGAAAATTGCTGCTTTGTGTTTCGGCGGTCATGGGTGAAGTATCTCTGCCTTTAATTAACCAAGAAAAATGGGTTAATGTTGCACATGGATGACTGAGCGATGACATGGTATGTTTGCTATGTATAGACAGAATGGATGGTGCTTTCAAGTGCTTTAACTAACCCCCCTGCTTTGAAGTTTTAGAGGTTGTTGAATCAGCTTGTGAGCTTTTATTGGCAAATAATATAAAAAGACCCTTAGTTTTTTTTTTTTTATTGTTAATGGGTTTTAATTGTTATGAACAGGCTAAATACACCAAGTCAGTGAGTCTACATGTGTCAGACATTAACTTGTGACTTCTTTACAAACTTTTGAGGCAGATTTATACACATTACACCACCAGCATTATGTCCTTGATGCCTGCTCTGTTCAGTATTATCGTTCAGATCTCATTTTCAATAGCTGTCCAGGCAGCAGAGACCACACGCACTGCTTCCCTCTGACCTGGCAGATAATCGGATGCTCAGTTGGGGGCAAATTTTAGGACGCGACGACGCATGACTAGATAATTGTTTCCTTTCTTGCTGAGTGAATCTCCAGTCTCTCTCTCTCTCTCTCTCTCTCTCTCTCTCTCTCTCTCTCTCTTTCTCTTTCTCTAAGTTCACCACACTGACAACTCTCTGGCTCTGTGCATTTTTCTATGGAGTTAACTGAACCCAAAGAAGCTGTGTGGAGCTGCTGCAGAGTCTCTCCTCAGCTTTCACCAGCAAAACTCTCACCGTTTACAAAGTGCAGTTATCAAATCGATCGATGTGGATTCACTCTGATAAAAAACTATGGCTTTTGCTCCCACTCACAACAATCAGAAAATGTTGATGCAAACAAGACATGTAATTCACAGTCCCCGTATCAGCTTCTTTTTTTTTTTAGCCCAAGTACCAATATGAAGCTGTGTCAATGATTACTAAAACATAAATTACATTCTGATCAGCCAAAGGTAAGAGCTACCTTCCTTATCATTGGTTTAAAACTTGCTGCTACTGCAGGAAGTGAGCACACATATTAAAGCTATTAATTGATTTTTTTTTTTTGGCCACTTGGGGGCAGCGGAGCAAAGTGTAATCACAACTCTGACATATTATTACTTCAAGTTGATATGGTGAACATGTTGGCCAACAGTTGCCTCTTTGCACACCCAGCAGATAAGAAACAACATTATCATTCATCTGGAGTCATGTTAGTCATCACTGGATAGATGTAAGTCCAATATTCACTTACTTCCTTTTTAACTTTGTTTTGGTTTTCACAAAATCTCATAGCAGGAAATATCAGGTTTCAGTAGCTAAAACTAGCTAGCTAGCATCAAATAGCTATTCAGTGCCGGGGCTCTTACGTTGAATTTATAAGAGCTTCTTTGTTGAAAAGAGTTGCCTGCGGCTGCTAGAAATGGGAATGATGCAAGCGGTGAGAGTGAACCAGAACAGTAAAGTTGTGGGCTGTTAAACCAAAACAGTGAGCGCAAAGATCCTAACACTCTTCACAAGTGGGACTGCACATTCGGCATGGTCAATTCTCCCATTTTTTAATATAAAATCATAAATAATGTCCCTAATCATTGTCATGTTTTCATTTTGTTCAGACCTGGATTTCAACTTAGGAGGTCCATGAGATCCAAAATAAGTACCTGACACCTGAACACCCTGAGTGTCAAATAGTTAATTAATGAGACGTAGATAGATAGATACAGTAGATAGATAGATACAGTAGATAGATAGATAGATAGATAGATAGATAGATAGATAGATAGATACTTTATTTATCCCCTAGGGGAAATTCGTGTATGACAACACTTTGTCTTTAGTGGAGCTTTGATTCTTCTTGGCTTGTTGTCACACTGGCTCTTGAACTGTTTGGAGTTATTGGATGGAGCTCCAAGAACGACAGCCCCCAGTCATTGGAGGGATGAAGAAAGTAGAAATCCACTTCCCAAAAAGGTTCAGTAACATTTAAATCAGATTAAAGAGAAGGCCAAAGGGAATCCAGCGCAACGAGTAACAGCTGATATTGAGCTGTTTGACATTAGAGCCTTCTTTGGTACTTTTAATCAGGTGGAAATGCGGATGAATGAAAAAGACAGAAATACTCATGTAGACAGTGTACAATTTTTTTTCACGGCTGCTGGTTCAATGCTTCTACAAGGTTAGACATGTGGATACTTGGGTTTGGATATACAGTGCTATGAAGGCAGTAGTTTGAGTGAAATAGCCCTTTAAATCAGATACATATTACCTTTACCTTTCAAGATGTTGTTGAACTGAATTTCTTTCTTTCTTAAATTTCATGTGGTGTTTCTATTATTTTATCTCTTCTGATGTAGAGATAGCGAGAGCAGACGGAGGTGACTCTTTGCTTCGTAAAGTGGCTGCTTTTCCTTTCCCACCGTCCTCTCATGGCACTGAGTAACAGGGACCAACTGAGTGTGTGATAAGAGCGTTATATCCCACCACACTCAAGTGTAATTAGAAGATAACTCAGCTCATGAAGGCACCCACACATGCTGTAGACACAGACGCACACGAACGCGTACACATGGAGGGTTTAGTGGATCTCCTAGCAGCCCTAATGGTTCCTGCCTAGCTTCAGTCTAAATGTCAACCTAACCCCTCTAGCCCCTCTGTAATGACAAAGTCCAGACTGAGCACTTTTTAACGACTTTGTCAAACACTCACAGATCCGCCACCGGGGCTTGTGGGAGTTTAACACCCACAGACTCCTGACTACAGCAGATTTAATTTTATCCCTCAGAGATGTCCACATCTTACGCGGACATCTCTGTCATGAGTCTTATCTATTTGTTCTGTGTTCCCTTTCGCTTTATTCATATTTGGTTTGCATCATGTGTAGCGTGGGAAACCCTGTGCAAACTTTGAAGAGCAAACGCGCTCGACTCGGAGTAAATAGTGCGGTGTGTGGCTACGAGGTGATGTGAAAAAGCTGTGAAGCTTGTTCATTAAGGGAGAAACTGATTGCGATTCATTACCACTTAAATTCTTCACGGATAAAAAGTGAAATTCAACCTGCTTCAAATGATAAAAATTGACCTATACCAGAAGCTGTGTGCCAGACTCAGCAATGGCTGCACCTGCTGGATGACATTGTCCCCCCCCCCCTGTGTTTTTAAAAGTGGAATTCACTCCTCATGATGATAAGTGGCTTCTGAGACACTTTGCTCTCCCAGGAAATCTTTTCATTAGATTTATGTTCCCATTTGGCCCCTGGTTTTGAAAGGAGGACTTGTTGGACTCCTGCCATAACTATATCTGTCAAAGCACGCTTCATTCTTCATGTTGTGTTGTTAAATAGTTGAGATGCATATATCACAGCTGCTTAAGATTCAGTTACAGTTCTGGAGCAAGTGTTTTTTATGAGTCAGATGTTAGCAAACTGTTACTGGACACTGGATTTTGCCGATACCGGTACCGATGTCATTTATATGATATGAATATATCGATATATATTAAAAACATTAATTCTTTAAATTTGTTTCTTTTTTTTTTTTTTTTTTTTGTAATTCACAATTGTAAGGTTACACTGCAATTCACACAGTTTCAATGCTGTACCTGAAATGGTTAATGAGAAATTCCAGTTCATATGTCTTTTATTATCAGATAAATGTTCCATCCTAGACTTATTTAAGCTCAGTGTCATATACGGATATGCACTGACGGTTACATTGTTTGAAGAGCACAGATCTATTTCCGTACGTAAAGGGAGCATGAATGAGCCTTTAGTGAAATCACCAGTGTCCAACTTGTAATTAGCATGCACATTCAAGTCATAATTATGACTGGGAAACCTGGATACCTTGTGTCCACAAAGGTCCAGGATTCAAGGTAATTAAATCCAAATTTAATGAATATAGTGTTAAATTGTCTTTGAACCGTATTTTTAACCCTTATCTGACCAATTCTGCAATCATGCCACGTCTTCGTTTGATGTAATGATCTAATGTCATAAACATGAGAGTCTTTCCCATCTCGATCATCCTTCTCATATGTGAAGGCAGCATGCCTGGGCTCACTTGGATGAAAAGCCTGGACATCTAAAAGAAGTTTGGAGTAGAACCATTGTTCCTTTTGTGATGAATGGACCCAGTTAAGTTGGTTTGGGCATTTGATCAGGATGCCTCCTGGAAGCCTCCCTGTGAAGGTATTCCAGCCACATTCAACTGGGAGGAGACCCCAGGGTGAACACAACAGAGGGATTTTGTATCCAATCTGGCCTGGCATAAAATCTGGGGATACCCTAAAAAGAGCTGGAGTTCGAGGCTACGGCTATTTCTGCCCGCTGCCACTAAAACCTGGATAAGTGGCAGAAAACTGTTTAGATATGCGCTGTTAATAGAGTGTTTCAAAACTGTGTCTGTTAGCTCTGTTTGTTCAGTTACCATATCCATTTGGGCTGCCATTCAAACACTACCATGGGAAAGGTGCTCTTTAGTGCACCAGCATTGTTGGACTGGCCTTATTGCATTACCAGAGAAGCCAAAGAAACTTCCACACAGTCCTCATGGCCAGTTGGTATGAAAGGTGAATCACGTCTTTCTTGCCTCATGACTGACCTTTACACAATGCTTCATGCACATTCATTCACAGCTTGTTAAAATATCTTCCTAAAAGGCAAACGGACAGATGGAATGGGGCAAAATCACAAACCCTGTCCAAATGTGTTGGCGGAGGAAACAAATCACATAACACTGGTCTAGAGACAGCCACAATCCTCGCACCAGAAGGATTTCCTTCTGTTTGTTTAGCTTGGACCTACATCTTTGTGTGTGTGTGTGTGTGTGTGTGTGTGTGTGGCAGTTCGCAACAGAGACAAAGCTCTCTGCAGCTGGTCTACCTGATTCACAGCACTAGAGGGCAGCAATGGAAAAACACACATACATTTGATCTTCTGTACCAGTGAGCACCCTCAGATATAATCTTAACAACCACAACCTTGTTACTAAGCCAAACTCTCACCCAAAAATTATTTAATTATCCCCTTGACCTAAAAAAAATAACTTAAAGAGCCTTTTGAGAACTGGCTAAAATGTCTTCTCCTTCCAAAACCGTCCTTGTTCTTCAGATCTCAAATTGGTTTGCACCCAGATAGAAAGTATAAAAGAACACACACAGACCCTGACTCCCATCCTGCTTTGCTTTCCCATGAATGCCTATTAATATACCATCTATACAAACAACAATGTGCTCTTTTTTTCTAGATTTTGTTATTTAGTCAGACATGTTGTTTCTCTTACCAGAATTGCCAAATGCTCGAGTTTCACTACTTCGAACTCTCACAATCCTCCTTGTATTTTGAGACTGCCGTACCTTCGTTCCACAATTGCACTATTTGTACTTTATCTATTTCATTCACAATACCCGTGTAATATTCAGAGTAAGATATAGAAGATGTGGGTTTCGTTGAGGAGAGATAGCTGTGTCTTTTGTAATGAATGACAATTACACTGGATCATACTGAATCTTTTCTGTTCAGTCAGGAGGAAATGGAGAACAAGGCCATGTATCTGAGCACGTATGAAGAGAGGGACAACGGCTCCATGTATGAAGAAGCCTACGACGGACGCAACCTGTCCAAACTCAACCTGTGCGATGAAGGTAAGAGGCAGAGTTGAGACTTGGGGAGTGGAAAAGACTGAGATGAACTTTAAGGCTTGTTGTTATCAGTTTCCCAAGCTTTTTTTTTCCATCCCTACTACAGACCTATTTATTTATTTTACAGAGAAACAGGTTTTCATTTTGAGTCCTTGTCCTCCAACAATATGTTATGTATGTTATGTTTTCTGCTGCAATAAGAAGCTCACCTCCGTAGCCTCTTATATATTGCGAGGACAGCTTCCAATATTGTCCAATGATAAAAACAGTAGAGAAAACAGAGGTGAAAATAGGAATGCTTGTGCAACACGCTCAAGAGAGTTGCAAAACAAACAAGTAAATGTTTAGAAATTTCACTCAGACTTTTTAACTGTTGGATTTTCCTTCGAATTTTGACCAGTTTTTGACCTTTTTTTTTTATTTTCTATTTCAACATTCCTCTGTGAGAAATGAAACAAAAATAATGACCCATATAAATGTGTTGTATTTACCTTTGAGCACAGAAGTCTGTCGAGACTTACATTTTCGGAAAGGGACTTTCTACAAAACTATTTATTGGTGTACACAAACGCCCACACACACTAATAACCAAGACAGACTCTGTCAAGTATGCTAACACACACATATACACACACATAAACATGCACACACACACAAACACACACACAGAGGCAATGCTGTCACCATTTGGCATTTGCTCTCTTCTCGTTATGGTCATCTGTGAAAGCAAGGAATGTCCAGGAGCAACATCTGTGTGTGTGTGTGTGTGTGCGTGCGTGTGTGCGTGCGTGTGTGCGTGCGTGTGTGTGTGTGTGTGTGTGTGTGTGTGTGTGTGTGTGTGTGTACAGGTGCAGCTGAACGAATACGCAGTTGACCCTGTGGTGTTCTCAGGTTTCGACCCAGGGCTTTGCGAGTTTTGTGGGAAAGACTTAGTGAACATTAACTGGAGAATTTGTTGACATTTTAATGGAAAGTGGACAATGGCCTCACACATCAGAAAGACTGTCCTCGTCCAGCTTCACTAATCCTAGAACATTTTCACACCTTGTTCAATTGAAGAAGATATTCCCAACCATGGAGCGCTTTATTTGGTTTGGGTAGAAATCTGTAGAAATAAGCAAAACAAATCAGTCAGGAGGTTTCTATGAGCCCATGGCAGGGTTTTATTTAGAGTGAAATCCAACAATGATTCACACAACTGCAGGAGACAGTCTACATTATGTGTTGAACACATTGTGAATGATGGGTAAAGAATGACTTTCATCCTGGAGGAAAAAAATCTGGATTCATGGGTCGTGAGCTCTGACTTGTGTAAAGCAATTATAACAGCACATTACCATCAATTTGACAATGATATGTTAGTGTTTAGATGTACACGCATAGATTAACGCCTTCAAAGTAGTTTTTGTTGTTGTGTTTGTGCTCGCACACGTCATGTCACCATCACCTGCCAGTTACAGAGACAGTGCCTGACTTTTATGGAATACGGCGCACTTGCCAAGCACCATGTGTATTTGATTTGGAAAGTTGAAGTTAAGGGAACAGTGCTCTGCCCTTGTAAACTCACTAATTTCACCAGCAAATGGCCAAATACATAGACTGTGCCAGGAACTGACTCACATTGGCCCCGCTGAAAAAAAACAAAATGTGTCAAAATGGGTAAAAAAAAAAAAAAGGCGTTTGTTGCATCTCCAAGTTTACTAATAAAATAAACCTTTTTGCTAATCCACAACTAATCTGTTTATTACATCCACTGTCTCTTTGCCCAAACAGTGCAGTATGTTGACAATACCCTCACCAGACAGACATGACTCAGAGAACATACATCAGTGCAATAATGTAATTCCCAAATGTGTTTACAGTAACTTGAATGAATATTGACTCTTCTGTCTCTAATGTCAGATGGAAAAGGTTTTGTCTTCTTATTCTCACTGGGTTGCATTCGTGCTGCGCTGTAGATCGCAGAAACAACTGTACAAAGCATAATCTTAAATGACAGTGTTACTGAACCCTCGACTACCATGCAAGAAAGTTTTTATTGGTGAAATAATAAGTTGATTAATTGATTAGCAAATCGACTCAAAAATGATAGAAACAAATTTAAGGGTAAAGTCAGTTCAAGTCATCGATGCCAAAGATGCCAAACATTCTTGTAATTCCAGCCTCTCAAATGTGAGGATTTTCTGCATTTCTTTGTTTTATATTATAACTGAATGTCTCTGTTTTTTTTTTGGTTTTTTTTAGGCTTCTAATTACTTTAACAAAAGCTTTTTTCATATTTACATGATTAAGTGTTATAGTTCTTTATAGTTTTTATAATTTTATTCAGTTCAGATGCAGTATTTTTGAGTTTAGTACTGCTGGTCAGACAGAGCATAAGTCACAATTTGGGCATTGTTGTGAATTCTTTGAACTTTTGATGGACATTTTTCACTATTTTTTTGGGACAGTTTTGTGGAGTAAAAGAGAGTGGATTTATTAGAAATAATAATTGACAGATTAATTGATAATGAAAATAATCGTTATAGTTACAGGAACCTGTCAGCAATTTGGGAAATACTTTAGCTTAGCATAAAGACCGGGAGCAGGGGAAACAGATTGTTTGGCTCTAGTTCAAAAACACGACATTCAACGATGCAAAAACTCACAAATTGACATATTTTATTCAGTTTCATTATCAGAAATGTTAAAATGACAATTTGCAGGTTTAGGAGAAGTTATATGCTGTAACTGTTTCATAGCAAACAGCCAGATGCTTTGACTTCTTGTCACAGTGACACTGTTGTTAAGATAAACTAAGATAATCTTGTCCCCGCTCCAGCTTCATAACAAAAAAACAGGCCAGTGGTATCAATCTTGTCATCCAACTCTTGAAACCACAGTGAATATGCAAATTTCCTAAAATGTTTTTGTCTGTTTTTCATGAGTATGTTTGTTTGTTTTGAAGTACAGCATGAGATGAATTTAAAAGGCAGACTAGCTTGGAGTGCCATTTCTGCTCCTATACATTCCAACCATGTGACACACACACATCTGAGCCAGCTGTGTTTGTCTTACACTGGTGGAGTGGGTGTTCTTCATCATAGAGGGGAAGTGTGTGTGTGTGTGTGTGTGTGTGTGTGTGTGTGTGTGTGTGTGTGTGTGTGTGTGTGTGTGTGTGTGTGTGTGTGTGGCTGCATGTGCATCAGCAACAATCCGCCAATGTCCACTGACAGATTGTCATGCCTCAAATGAAACCATGCTGTTGGGAGGCCGCACTGCAAAGTCAGTGTTTATATTTAAAAGTCAGACTCAAGCCAACTTCATTCTTGTTCACAGGAAGATAGAATCTCATTATAACCACATAACATCCTAGTGGGTTTAATATTTATCATAATGTTCATGTAACATGGCCACAGTGATTCCCCGGAGATACCTGTCTGTTCACATTTCACATCCTGTCCTGGGCCAGTTTCCTTAACTCGGTAAGATATTCAATGTAGATCCTGCTTTTCTTCTTTCTTTCCAGTTCATCTCAATGCTAACTGTTGGTCTTGTGTGAAAGCTGATTCTTAAAATGTTTTGACACCACTGGCACAGTATCCTGACAGATTTTCTTTTCTTTTTATGAAATGACATTCTGTGTATTTCACTAAACCCCTCCCTCAATCCAGTCATACTGTAGCTTAACAACCGTAACTAAGAACGGAATGTTTGTCAAGCTTTGGAATCTTGTGAACATTCCGAGGAGTTGCGAACTAGTGACAAGTACTCACTAACCAAAGAGTTTTGAAGGTAATGTCTTTTTTTTACTTATTCAAATCCAAAAATATGAGAAAAAAGCCTGTTCACCTGCTAAGTTAGCCAGGCATGCTCACCTAGCTAACCTAGCCCTTAGCCCTTTCATCTATGGCCAAGAGTTAGCATATCTACAGCTAAGTACATTCTTTTGTAGGGTGTGCGGTTACAAAGCCCCACTGAGAACTGGTGTCTGAGCTTTGTCCTTCCCTTTAGTGAATTTTGGTGTGTTGCCCTGGATAATTTTGCTAAACTCATTAGCTAATATTTATCCTCAAACCCTTATACCTTTTTAAAAAGTGAATATATTGTTTAAAATGCAAACAACTCAGCATAACTCTCGCTTTTATGTTGCTTGTCCGAGTAAGATTTTGTCTTTTAAGATTTATCAGGTTGATTTTATGCACATCTTTCCTTTTAGGCTACTTCAGAGCAACAATACTGCTATTCTATTCAAATGTTTTCTACAGGGGTGATCACTTGTGAGCATACTGACTTTTTGCCTGGAACCTGTAGGCTAAGCTATATGCTCGCTAGCTAAAAATGAGAGGCCTGCCTTTTTCAAAGTCATTCTGAAATCAAAGATTACTTGTTCCAAAATTGCTGTGATTGCATATGCATATGTATATTTATAGATTACACTTTATATTGTCTTTGGTGTGGCTCTTGCTGACCCCTAATGATCGGGTACAGCTTTGGAGTAATATTTTTGGAAAATAAAACTACTTAACTTCACATTTTCAAACAACACTTTTTTTATATATCATTCCTTTTCCAATGACTGATGAAGGTTGTGACTCCAGGGCAACTCCCAAAATCTCCTCATCTTCTTGACCTGAAGGGAATGTTCCCTCAATATCAACAGACTAATCCCTGCCTCCTGCCATCACACACACACACACACACACACACACACACACACACACACACACACACACACACACACACACACACACACACAAGGAAAAACCACTTCCATCATAACAGTATTGTGTCACTTTTATCAAGACTAATTCTCAAACATCTGTGTGACCCTGAGAGGAGTGTTACATGGTGACATGAATTATAGTAATATTTCCATAGTGAGCATTTTCATTTGTGTAATTCATATAACAGAGTTCACCTGTGTAAATTCAATTTTATTAATGTATCTGTGCATCTGTACATGTATGTATGTGTCATAATGTATATCTTTGACCTTAAAGCAATAATGTCTTAACCATTCCCTTACTAACAATAAGTTAAGACTTCTAGATTTGCCACATAGCTACAGTAATTTCTGATCAAATTTATATTATAAATTTAATGCCAGTACGACCTTTTTAAAATAGGAAATCCAAGAAACGCTTTAAATGTTACTACTTACGTATGTCGTCAAGTGTTCCCTAAGCTAAGAAGTAAATTACCTGATTGCGTGTTTTACAGTCTTCGGTGCTTGGTGTATGATCTTACCCTTGTATTTATACAGTACTGGATGTCATCATATTAATACGTTTTAGGCTTTATGATAAACGTCTTTATATTATTTGTGTAGCTACAACCACCAGTCCTTGTTTCTATGGATAGTCCTCAGATTTTTTTTAGACCTGGAAAATTTAACCTTGATTGCTTTGATACTCATCTCACACATAATACTCCAGCCACTCCAGCCAATACTAAACACAGTTTTAAACACTAATAACCAAGTGGTTATTCATATTCTCTATTTCTGTATTATTCATAATATAACTTGTCATATTCATAATATTTGCACCTCTATTAGGACTTTCTTTCCCTTTTTTTTTTGGGTCCTAATGTTTTTTTCTACTTTCCTCAGGTTCTGGAAAGCGTCGCAGGAAGCAGGATCAGTGCTGCGGTCACCTGAACTCGCTCTCAGCCATCAAGTATGCCATTGTTTCCCTCTACATCCTGGTTCTTCTCACCATCTTTGGACTCTGCCTGGCAGGTAGGAAGAAAATAAATGGCTCTAATCATGTTTTTGGTTACAATAGGTATATACTTCCAGGGTTCGAATTACACTGTGGCTTTCGGGGGAGCCCTATTTTCCGGTGTGCACCTCTACTTCACATGTCACATACACACGCATACATATAAGTGCGCGGCATCGTGGTCAATAACAGGGTTACTGCGAATGTTACTACTGCAGGCAGTTAATACGTGCTGACTCAGTGATGAGGAGTTCAGGTGGCTACGTAAATCTAGTGATTTGAGTGCAGCGCTGCCACACATGGATGGCCGCAGCAGGAGTAGACACAGAATTGTTATGTTACAGATGATCGGAAAATGGAATGTAATGAGTGAATAAACGCACAACATTGACTTATTTATATTATTATTTTTTATTTCAGGAACCTTAATGTATAGAAAAATAAAATATAATTTGTAACACAAAAGTTAACAATTTTGTTAGTGCTTGTATCCTTTTAAGGGGAGTCGAGCTCCCCTTAAAAGGATACTCCCCCGTAATTCGAACCATGTACACTTCCGTGTACCAGAGTGCATGTGTACCTATTGTATCCATATGATTTAGCCTTCAATATGTATGTCTTTGGTTAGCATAAAGCACCTTTTTTTGTATTATTTTGTATTTTGTCACTTTAGGATCATAGGAGGAGTTCAATGTGTTCATAGTTGCTACTTCCAAAAAACGTGTGTTATGTGTTCAAAACAGCTTCCAAAGTTGATATTTTAATTATTTTAAAACACGGTCAGTATTGCATATTATGAACATTTTGGATTCATATTTGTTGGTGATGATCTTGAACTTCTTTCACAAGTTCCTTTCAGTCAGATGCTTGCTAGTAATGAAGATTTAAAAAAAATTATGAATTAGAATTCACTATGTCTGTGTGTAAATTGTACAAAACTATAGCAGTACAGAACCCTGAGGCCAGTAAATATAATGAAATGATGTGAAGTGTGAGATATATAATGAGACAAACCTTTAACATACCTGAAACACAACAAAAAAGAATGACTATCAAATGACCTTGCCATATTGTACAGGACGTGTCTATGCAGACATCATTGGTTGTATCCCCAGTAATGATGGAGGTGATCCTGCCAAACTTTTCCCTTGTGCAAGTCCAGTGAAATGACTCTCAGCTGAGGCACTTCCAACACATGTTGTGCTTTTGCAGAGTGTTTTGATAGTAAATATGATTTTATTACTCTAGCCTGAGTGTTTGTTTTAACATTGAGTGGGGAAAAATGTGTCACATGATGTTGATCAGCTCACACCATATTGTCTGAGATGGGTTGTTAGATAAAAGTGTTGGATGTTTATATCCCACACAGGCGGTTGGTTAGTTTGACTATGGCTGTGATGTTGTGGTGCCGCTATCAGATCATTTCTCAGCTGTTAAAGATTATTACCAGTTTGTCGGAGAGAGACGGAAAGGAAGGGAGTGAATGAGAGAAGGGAGGAAAGATAAGAAGAAAGAAATGCAGCAGGCAGAGCACTGTACTGTAGAGAGAGAGAAAGAGAGAGAGGGGCATATTGTAAGTCTTTTGTTCTCAGAGCTCTGTTATGCAGATGACATCAGCCATTCCTTAAGGTTGAATTGTAATGAAGGACACACACATGCACGTATACACACTTGCACCATAAAAATCCCACTTAGTTAGTCTTAGGTAACACTCTGGGATGTGGTCTGCAACCTTACTCCCCTCTTAAACTGTCTGTTCTGGTTTAGCATTGAGAACACACACACACACTGTCTCCCACACACATGCACGCAATGAATAAACAATCATATGAAGCATAATGTAAAGTCCTGCTGGTGATTGTATAGACTTTCTATACTTGACAGAATTAGACATTTTACTGCTGAGAAGTTTGTAATTTAATGTTTCAGTGCAAAAAGTAGCACAGATCTCTGTATCTGCTTAAAGAAACGTCACTCTGTCCTTGGAGATTTCTAACCTGAATCGTGAAATCAGTTTTCCAAGTGCAGTGCACAATTGACCTGTCTTCTTCCTCCTGCTGTTGTAAAGCTCAGTATTTGTGTGACAGATTTAAACTTAATTCCCACATGTGAATGTTACGTTTGTCACAGCATTTTTGGAAGCGTGACAAGCTTGACCTTTTACACAGCGACATAAAAGACGGAGGAGAGATAAAGCGTGACGGTGGTTTCTTAACACGCTGGCTCCTTTTGTGCTGCATGGTTCCCATACTGCGCCTCATCCGTGGCTGTGGGATAGCCAGGATTCCACTATACAAAACGGTCTTACACAAGGTTGACCATGAAGCTACAGCACCTTTTTAGCATGATTAATGAGTTGGCATCACAACTTATTTTCTAGTTGAGGGGTCAGCATCTAATTTGTTGCCTATAGAGCAAATCAGCACCTGTTAACTGTCAGAAAAGTATTGAAAGTGTGGAACAAATCCAGTTTAGTGCTTTAATGATTGGATTTTGCATAGTAGCACCGATTTGATGCATTTTTGGCTGTGAGTCGTGTAAGATGCATGCTACTGTAACAGGTCGTCCTCGTCTTGACTCCATTGTTGCCTCAGTCATCAGGCATTGAATCGTCGCCCTGTGGCGTCTCCACCAAGATGGACTCACATTTCAGGCCAAGCACTCTGTGTCAGTAAAGTCATGATTTGCCTTGTGCTAATCTTACTCCATACCCACACTGTGAGAAAACATCCAGACTGCACAATATCAGCACAGTAATGGCCCCACCCAACATACGTACATGGGGCGTCTGGGGAAATGAGCATTGGCCATGACAATGATTGGTCAGTGTTCATGATGTAGTTTACCATGTCTCTCAGCCAAATTATTAGAATTAGAATAATCTGACACAGTGATTATCTCAAAAGACAAAAATAAAAACTCAGCATTGTACTGTTTTATACAGGTGTCCTCTGAACATTCACAATGTCGTTATGCAACTGTAAAAGAACAGTATTGTTTTTCACCTGGTGTGTTTCCTGCCATTTGCCCTAAACATGGATTTTCATGGACACTCAGGATGATTTGATTTATTTTCTATGTATTATTAGGGGTCCAAGCTGCTGGAAGCCAATTTGTTTTTATTCTTGTTATTATTCTTAGTCTTTCTTAATTTTCTCCGCTAAAGTTGTTAGTGCAGCAAAAACTGCTGGAGAAAAAACATGAAAATGAAACTAATTGTCTGAAAGATGGTACTGGTGGTGCTGTAATAATGCAAGTATAGGAAGTATAGGTTTGTGCAATTTCCTTGAAAACGGCTTGGGCTACAGGCAAAATTCTTTTGCCATTTTGATCTCTGAAATCTTCTGCATCTTTGCTCAAATGGTCTTCTTCTTTAAAAATACTTATCTTTTCAGCCATTTTGAAAAAATCAAACATAAACCCAAAATGAACTAGTCCGAGGCCGTTCATCTAATTCTCATGACGTTTGGTCTAAGTCATCTACTGACAATGCTGATGAAAAGTTATTAAAATAATTTCAGTTTGTTAGTCTGTTTTGAAATTATAAACTTTTAGTAGTTTAGATCAATTTTACACAAACGCTCATAAATCAAAATAGGCTAATGCTATTGTAACCAAACTCGGTGTACGCCTGCGGACCTTAGCTCCTAGCATTGTTATAGAGTCTGGGGATATTCTGACTCTAGGGGGTGCTACATATGCAAAAAGTTTGTATCTCAGATTTGGCAGCATGTATTTGTACAAAATTCGGCTCATTTGATCTCGGGTCATTACTTGATTAAAGTGGGCGTGACTTATTACAAGAATTCCAAACTTCAAATAATCACAATAAATGACTCGTACGTTCTACAGAGCTGATGTTTTTTCAGCACATACTCTGAATGATGATGAATGTTTGCTTCACTGTAACCGTGGTCAATTCAGAAGTCCATCACTTTATATTTTAAAAAATATGTTAAATCAATTAACTTCTATATCTCCACAAGTTTTCATTCAAATGCTACCAAAATTGAAACAGACATTCTCCAGATGGTAGATACCAAGTGTTTCAGACCGTGTTTGGATTGGACGAACGGTAAGTCCTCAGTGATATTGATAATTGCAATTTTTACAGTTTTTTTCAGGACTTTCACACCAACATTTCGTCAGCTTTAAGTGTTTTAAAGTCATAAAGACAGAAATACTCCAGTTTTGCACATGTGATGTCATTGCCTCAACTTGTGTGAAGGCAGGTGGAGCACATGGTTACCCAGTGGCGGAACCAGTAAGTCACCATCTCTGGGGAGACCAAGGTCAGGGGTTCAAAGCCCCAGATGGCCTAAATCCTGCTTCAGTCCTGATTCAGCAAAACATTAAACAACAACTAATACATATGATATTTATATGCTTGTAAGCTGCTTGGACCCCGATAATTGCCGCTAGCGGCTATATTTTGTATTATTATTATTATTATCATACAGCCTCTATAATAATGGTAAGCAGTTAAAAAAGAAAGGGCAGCGAACATAATCCTACAGCAAACAGGACCAGTTCAAAACTGCTCAATTATCAGTTTGCAGTTGGCTGTCACCCAATAAGCGAGACCCGTCAAGTGTATCTGACATATTGGACAGTTTCTTGAAGTGATCTATGAGTTAGTTTGTTTGTTTTGAACGATGACCTCATGCTGAAGCTAAATGCTGTTTGGAAGACAGTGACTTTGAGGGTATAAACGTGGAACTTGAGGCCAAAAACTCATCATTGGTAGATTATGTAATGAAGCAGGGAGAGTCACCCACATTTCTCTAGGTGTAAAAAAAAAAAAAAAAAAAAAAAGAAAAGAAAAGAAAAGAAAAGTGCTAACCACCCAGCTCCAAAACAACTCCTCTAACTTCCAGAGCTAGAGTTAGAGGCATGGACAATATTTCTTTCAAACATCACGTCTCTGTGATTGGCACGAAGTTGGTGGAACCGTAATGTGGAAATTTTGATGTGTGAGTTATGGAAATTAGCTTTAGCTGTTGTTATTTCATATCAC